CCTGAGACTATTTTCTAAATGCATGACATAGACTCTTGTTTCCTTTTAGAGAACTGTCATGAGAGCTTTTATGCATTCTGATCCCTTTGACCCAGTAGAATATAATGATTTGTATAAATTCCTCTTTTTGTTCTCAGTCCATTGACTGTAGAGTATAATAGCTGTTTTGGTGCCATTGTGCTGTATTATAAGCTATGTATAAACTGAAGATTTGCTAAATGGCTCAAGTGAGAAGGAATATGGTCCAAAGCTCTTCAAATCTTTCCAGAGACAGTGGAAAGTGTTTGGAAAGTGTTTTACCTGCCACGTATTTTGATGTTTGACTCTACTCCTTTTCAGTAAAATATAGCAATTAATAAGAATGCTGGAAAGTTGGGGGGGTTGCCAACAAACTGCTGAATCAAAATGTACTATCAGCTTTTCTTTTTTGAGGCGTGTGATTTTCCCAATATAGCATGGTGGGCCTATTTTAAAGTTATATTTTTTCTTTCCAAATGCAAAGTAGAAGGATCCAGAAATCCACTGCAACACTGGAATTTCTGTATAACCATTTAGACACAAGGATAGAGGGGAGAGCATCAAGGATATCTACACTGCCCATAGCACCGTACTGGCCAGATACACCTCTGAGTAAGACCATTCAAAATGTTAGAGGGCTTCTATCAGCTGTTAGGAGAGAGGCATACAAGTTCTATTAAAACATAAAATGATTGTTTCTGTTAAGTCCAATGTTTTTTAGGGTCTAGCAAGTTGCCAGGATCATTTTGTAAAGTGAATGTGTAGGTTCCCATTGAGGACAAGGACTGGTAAGTTAGTTGGAATGATGATTCTGTGGCAAGTGTTCTCCCACCTATGATTGGGTATTTTTTTTGTCCTTTTTCATGCTTCTATCAGGGTTTATTATGGAGCATAACACTTATTTAGTTTTACCATCTACATGTACATAAGCAGTCTGACTTCAAATGCTCAGGCTAAGTATAGACAGTCAAAAAGCCTGAGGCTGAATTGATTCAGTCTTTGCAGGTTAGTCTAAACGGCATATTGAACCCATAAGCAAATGAACAAACATTCACTCTTGATTCAGGAAATTCAGCCACATGCCTGCACTGGCTCAAGCCAGCAGCCAGGGGCACAAGAGCATGGCATTCTGGCATGTAGCCAGCATGGGCGGTGTGTTTGCTTCCTCTTCCTGCTGCCCCTAAATTCTCTGGGATTTGCAGTCCAGGCTTACAGTAGTAGGACTCTGCAGGGTCGCTCATCATTTCCAATTCTTACTTCCAGGTGCCTCTGGGATTTGTAGTCCACAGTCACAACCAGCAGTAAGTAAACAGGGCAGGGCAGCTCCATACTCAGGGGAAGGGAAGTTTAACCCTCCTCCCTGGCCCCAGACCCCAGCATGAGCTTGCTTGTGGGGACCAGTGAGCCAGCCCTCACTGCTCCAGCTAGGGAGCAGAAGGGCAGGGTGTGAGCTCTGCTCTCTGGAGCAGACAGCACAGTCAGCCCAGGGCTGCAAAATGCTGGGATGCTGGGGGACTCTGATTTAACTTGAACCAGAAAGGGGTCTGGGACAGAAGTTGCATATAAACTGTTTTGACCTAAATCAGTGAAGTCTGATACTACATTCAACCAGGTTTATCTTAAACCAGTTTCAGCCATTTTGAAACTGGTTTATGTGCACCAAACTTCTATTCTGTTAAAGGTTTAGACCAGTTTCTGATCACTTAAACCAGTTTGTGTAACTTTTGTCCCTAGCCTCAGTGTTCCATATGTTGCACAAAACTCAGTGAGAGTTTAGCAGTTGGCAGCAGTGGCTAGGGGCAGACATTCAAAAAGCCTGAGCCTGAATTGATTCAGTCTTTGCAGGTTAGTCTAACCTGGCTAGGCTGAAACAGTTTGTAACTGTACAGGCATCCCTTCTGGACTGAAGAAATGCAGGCACATTCCTGCAGTGGCTCAGGCTAGAAGCTGGAGGGGTGCTAAACAGTCCTTCCTTCCCTTCCACAGTGTTGAGCTTGGGGTGGGGGCGTGGCCAGGCCCCAGCGGGATGCTCTGATTAGGGAGGTGTGTTCCCTACCTTGCTGCTGTTGACCAGCAATAGAGCCAGCAGGGAGTTACACAGTATTTACTTAAGTGGCAGGGAGTTATACAGGGAGTAATACAGTGTTTATCAGCCCATGAAGAAAACAAAGATCTCTCTCCTTAGTTCATGCTCTTCTTTTAGCTCCAAAAAGCCCTAAGTGGACACTGTCCTGCCTGCCTTACGCAGACACCTCTCAGCATTAGATAGCATACCACATGCTGGCTATTGTCCATGTGGGAGAGGGGAGGGGGGAATCCCTGCTTGAGCAGGGAGTGGTGAGGGGGCACGGGGAAGTTAGACAGATACTGCTGTGCTTGCTGTCTCTGCTGAATCTCCAGCCAGGAAGCAGGGAGGAGGTGGGGGGTGGCAGCCCACCTCTTGGCAGCAGAGAACCCCACCCAGGGCTGCAAAGCATCTGGGATGCTGGGGGACTCTGGTTTAAATTAAAACAGGAAGGGGACAGACATTGCATAAACTGATCTGACCCAAATCAGTTAAGTCTGATACCGCATTCAACCAGGTTTATCTCAAACCAGTTTCAGCCATTTTCAAATTAGTTTATGTGCATTGAATGTCTGTTCTGTTACAGGTTTAAACCAGTTTCTGATCACTTAAATCAGTTTATATGTAATGTCTGTCCCTAGCCAGTGAGGTCAGATGAGGGGGGGTTGTGCATAGCTTTGTGCAGCGTAAAGCCATAACATATCTGTTAAATCAGAGCTTGTAAGACAGTTAAGGTGATGATTGTACACCAGCAGCAGTTCATGGAGAAAGTATGTTAAAAGCAAGCAGGATCACTTGGAGAAAGCACATGCAGCAGTATCTGTTACCCTGTTAACTGTATATCTCCTGCACTTCCTTTTGCCTTCTTTCTTGTGGTGTTCAGAAGCTACAGGAAGTGAGTGGAGTTATACTTTGCTCTTCTTTCTGGCCATTTGCCTTCCATTTGACATGGCTGCCAATAAGCTGTTTTTATAGTTTATGAGGGGAGCATGAGGGTTAAGATACTTGATGCTTCCAGTATTGGTAGTCTTCACAAGGTCAGCTACATTTTGGCCCAGTATTCATTTAGCATAACTGGTTAGTTCCATGGGCTAATTTAAATTGGTTGTGCCTTTAATTGCATTTGAAAGTTTGTCTTCGTCAATCTCAACCATGCAGTTGGTTCAATAAAAAATATTGCCCACAAAAATCCTTGCCTCTTGCACATGTCCTGGACTACCATGGCTACCACCTAACTTTGGTATTGTGTTGTGTTAAGAAGTGCCTAGCACTTGCTGTTTGCAGTGTGATCATTGAGAGGTCATCTTCCACTTGTGAAAATTGGACTGCTTTTATTTAGAACTTTAGTAATTCCAACCATGACACTATGTTTTACTAGGGTTGTCTGGGAAGCATGCTGTTTTGTCAAAACAGGCATATGTTTTAAAAGCTGCCTTATTAGAATGGACAGTTAGGGAGAGTTTGGCAAAACATGCTCAATAGTGTGGTGGGCAGTCCACACAGCTCAGGTGTAGGTGAGCTATGTTTAAACCTCTCTCTTCCCAGTTAGTCTGTTTTGCTTTCAAATATACTTGAAAACAATTTTTGGGTCCATGAATAATTAGTATTTTGGGCAGGTAGCATTTTCCATCTGAGAACTATTTTGTTAAATTTTCTGAACAGTCCTATATTATCTCTTCTGTCTAGTATATTATGGGTTGAGTGTAATTGTGCATGTTCCAAAAAAAGAAAAAAACAAGTATCACAATGATTGTCCTGTTTCAATGAAACTGCCAGGGAACCAAAAGTATACTTAACGTAATAGAAGTCTAATCATACAGAATATAGAGTAAAGGAAAATAATTTATCGTACAAAAAATAGAAATAGAAAAGACAAATACTGAATCTCCAAACAGCTTAAATTTTCACATGAAAATGTCATCTAAGCTAGTTGAGTCAAAGGTGTCAGAGCTTGCCTTGAAAGATGATACTTATGTTTAAATGATTTAGTGTGACAGTATATAGCTAAGGTTTGCCAGATCTCAAGTGATCGTCAGTGGTTTAGTCTGAAAAGGAATTAAATACCTAGAACCTAAAATGATTTTTAATCAGGGCCTGTGAGTTTGCAATATTTAGTATTCATGCATTTTACTAACAACTACAATGTAGCTAATTTACCTTGATCTCTCAATAATTCAGTGCTAGAAGACAAGAATGTGAGAGAGGTGATTATATATTGACACAGTTTTCTGCAAAAGACAGGGATGGATGTAGAATACATTTTATAAAGAAATTCATGCATTGTGAGAGTCAAACTATATGAATAATGAAACTATAGTTTATCTTTTGGTTGGTTAATTAAGGTACAGGATTGAGAATAAGGTGAAATATTTACATCCCAGCAAATTACTTTCTGTGTCATCTGTAACAACTAAGTTTTGCTTGACCCATTCAAATATTTTCTTTCTAAAATAACATTTTGTCACCTTTTTTTCTTTATCCATCATTTCTATTAATCTAATTATCTTTTAGGATTTTTTGTATTACAGCATGTTTTGGCAAGCAAAAAGCTGTGGAATCCTTACCTGTATTGATGAGTGGGAAAAATTACTGAAAATAAACTTACTGCTGCTGGGGGCAGCAATAAGCATATTTAAAAGCGAGAGAGAACTAGTAAAACAATATGAGTGTTATTGTGCATGCAAGGTTATATATTATCTGTTGATTTTGGCTGAACCCTACATTGTGGCACAAATACACACATTTCTGTGGTTAGCAGCAGTTTCCATCGCACTGCACATTCTGGGCATTTTTTGTTGAACCGGATCCTTTATTCACAGTGCATAAGTAGTAGATTTAAAAAGTAAAATGCTGGTTCTAGAAGTGGGTATTGTTGTTTTAGTTCTTGGCATCAATATTGTCTGTCCGTTTTGCAGGTATGAAGCACCCATTATCTCCTGACCGAATCTTTGAAGATGGAATTATGAATCCATCAGCTTTACTACGGGGCTTTGAAGAAAAGGGAATGAGGAATGATAGACCAGACTGTCAATTAAGTAAAGAGAAAAGGAAGATACTCTTTTCTTTCTGTGAAGTATGCAATATACAGCTGAACTCTGCAGCACAGGCTCAGGTTCATTACAATGGGAAGTCTCACCTGAAAAGAATGAAGCAGCTGAATAATGTGAAACTACCTACAAACACAACTCCTGGCACTTTGTTTGCAAGCCCAAGCACAGGTACATAATGAGAGATACTGATTTCTGGTCAGAAAAACTAGGCTTCCAGGAAGGAAGCTAAGCTTTTTATATAACTTTATATGAATGTTTGATAATGCATGATAATCCTGCTTTGTTGTTGTTATGCTTGATACAGTCATATTCACTGCTAATACATTAATTACTGTAAAGTGTAAGATGGCAATTGGGACCAGATTTTTATTTTGTCAAAAAGAAACAATTCAAAGGCTCACTTTCTGGTCTAACAGCGATGTTCGCATCTTACACCAATGTGAAAGGTGAATCAGGAAAATAAATTTCCTTTTTTGTTGTATTTAGTCTACCTGTTCTGCCATTTCACTAATTTTGGAATGTTCAAAATATGACAGTACAGCATAAAGGAAATAACCTCTTCTAAAAAGATGCCCCTATAGACATTTGTTCTGTTTTGTTTTAGTTCAAGCTTTGTCTACTCTTGGGGAGATAATTGTTCTGAGAGGAGTAGTGAAATGATTATGCCGACATCACAAGGGTATGTGTTGCAAGGGGCGAGGGTTAGGGTGAAGAGAGAGCAAGAGGGAACTGAAAAACAGAGAAGTGTAAGGGATGGTTTAGTCTCATAAAATTCAGGATTATAAGCCCATAGAGGTTGGTAACATGTTTAGAGTTAGATGATGGTGGAGGGGTGGGGATCTCCCAAAACTTGTGTACATGTTTTTAAAGGTTCACAATAAGGAAAAGCACATGAACTGTATATGGCAGAAGGAATTTCTTTAAGGCAGTGGTTCTCGGGCTTTTTAGACTCAAGACCCCTTTAGACTTGAAGCACATGCCAACATTTTTTGGGCTACAGATAAATAATAGAGCAACTCTCCTGTGCAGAGAACTCGGACCACAATAGATCAGAATGTTTTTGACACTGTAGATTCCTATTTGTAATCTCTAGATTTATTTTGCGAAACGCATGTAGACATTAGCATACCTAACAGTGCAAATAGTGTGAAGCAATCTTAAAAGGATCTCGCAGTTTGTAGTGGAACAAGGGGCTGAGTGCCACTTAAGGGGATGGGGGTAAGAGAGAAGGCGCCTCACTCTGGGGCTACTTGCCTTGCTTGGCTCATAGCCTGCATCATTGCTTGACTCTGACACACATTTCAGGCTAAGGCAATGTGTGTCATAGAGCACAAGGGTTTCTGGGAATCATAGGTTTTTAGCTTAGTGCTGAAGTGTGCTGCTTCTGCCCCTGATTATTTTTCCTGCCAAATTCAGCATTTTTTTCCCTTTTTTGCCTTCTAGGCATAGGCTTTGACAGCACAAAGTCATTCCCCCTTTTGGGCCCTTCGCTCCCCCTTCCCCACCACCCCCCCACTGGCAGCAGCAAACTCTGTTGCTGCTCTAGAGAAATATGATTCCCAGAATGCTCTATGCCTTGCACTTTGCCCAACTCTCTGCTTTGGGGGAAGAATGAGAGAGGGCTACCAAGGACATGTTTTTTTCCATTCTATACCTCTGCTCACAGCATCCTGGTAGAGAATAACTCTTTTAAGGATTCATCACCTCAACAGTATCTATTGTTGATATCCAGGAAGCCCTCCAACTAGATAGAAAATCTTAATGGGTTTTGTAGTTCTTGAAACAACAAAATCATTTCCTTCTCATGATAATATTTGATTAAACAAATAGGTTGTAGCTTTACACTAAAGCTGCAACTTAAAAAAACAAAACAAAATATTTTTACAGGCCCTTTTTTAACATCTCCAGTTTGTCCTAAGAGATAGGAAAGCAAAGTAGTTTTAAGAATTGCTGTCAGGCTACTATTATTATTTTTCTATTTCTGTGAAGTATTCATTATGCAACTGAACTCTGCATTAAAGGACAAACTCAACCTCCTGAATGAGTAGACAGAAATGTGAGGCCTTTGTTCTTTTTTTGCCTTTTGAGATTTTTTTGGATGTTGGTTTTCTGTTTCTTGTGCACATCTTGATTTTTTTTTTTTTTTTTTTTTAATTAAGTCTAAGCTTGGGATTAGTGCCATTTGGATATCATATTGCTGACAAACAGGCCTATATGGAAAAGGATGCAGTTTGGCTTGATGTATATATACTTAGATGGTTTCATTGTGACCTTTGCAAATTATCCTGAATAGTGGTATGACATCATCTAATGAAACAAGTTTCCTTGTAGAGTACTTGTTTATAATTTGATTTGTTTTGAGCTCTGTACTTGTTTTTATGGCAGTTGATTATCATGTAACTGTGGTCCTCTGCTTTGATTGCCCCAAGATAGTATATTTCAGTGTTTTTCAACCTGTAGTCCACAGAACCCTGGGGGTCCACAGACTGTCAGTTGGCACTGGATTCACAACCCAAACCCCATACCTTTGCTCCGGGTGAGCACAACCCTCAGATCAACCGCAACCCTTGCTGGTTGATAATAGGCGAGTTTATTGATACACATTGATAGGAAATAAAAGCAATGCAGGCTAAGCAAGTACAACGTACATTACCCAAATTCCCCAGTCCCAGAATATACACAAGGTGAGCAGTCCAGCCGGCCGGTACATAAATGCCATGTTGAGGTTCTTTGCTTGAGTATCTACCATTAGCAGTCTTGGAGCTCGGGGGCTGATGCCAGCAGTTTCCCTCCCCTCTCTTTTGAAAACTCTTCCTTTTGTATTATTTCTTCTCCTGGTGGCTCTTGATCTGTGGTTGTCACTGATTGGCTATGTCCTGTGTTGTCAGCCAAAACCCCCTTTTCAAGTACATAAATGCCATGTTGAGGTTCTTTGCTTGAGTATCTACCATTAGCAGTCTTGGAGCTCGGGGGCTGATGCCAGCAGTTTCCCTCCCCTCTCTTTTGAAAACTCTTCCTTTTGTATTATTTCTTCTCCTGGTGGCTCTTGATCTGTGGTTGTCACTGATTGGCTATGTCCTGTGTTGTCAGCCAAAACCCCCTTTTCAAAAACCTATTACATGCCCACCTCCTAATTTGGGGCTTTACCAGTGTCCTCCTAATTTGGTCTGTTCCCCCAAAACCAGAAAGCTTAAGACTTTTTGCAAGCAGGCACTACGGCCCTGGAGCCAGGCCTATCTCTATTATGAAAATAAAGTTTGGATGTTTTCTGTTACCCAAGATGTGTGGCCTTGCTGTGAAGCTTCGGTCACTTATTCGATTCGATGAAGATTCGGCGGCCGAATCTCCGAATCCAACTCTAATCAGAAGACCCATTAATCTCTCCAAATCTAATTGGAACCCTTTGAATCGATTCGGAAAGATTTGATGATTCAGACATAGACACAGTTTAAAATGTTTTTTCTACATACCTCAAGGTACCAGGTGGCTCGTGAATGCTGAGACGTTGGGGTGGATGCAGCATCCCACAGGAGTGGGGGGGGCGGCGGAGGGGTCCCCAGCATGCTCAGCAGCAGACGTGCAAAAGGACCAGAAGCACTTCTGCATCCACCAGGGAGCACACGGGGATTCCCGCCCCCTGCTCGGTGACTGGTGCTTCCTGGGTCTGGGGGGGCCCCCGGGGTCCCCCTGTGGCCGATCGCTGAGCTGAGGCAGCACAGGGGGGCCTCCCTGCATGCTCCCCGGTGGACCTGGAAGTGGACCGTAAGTAGCTTCCAGTCCACTTCTGGGTTTGCCACTGATAATGCTGAGGAGCCCCTGGCACTCCTGTGAGATGCTCCATCCATCTCAGCATTGCAGTGTTCACGAGCCACGCCTGGTACCTCGAGGTATGTAGAAAAACATTTAAAGCTCTGTCTATGGCCAAATGAATCACTGATTCTCTGAATTGGCATCAAATCTTCAGATTCAGATTTGGCTGAATTAAATTGGGACAGTGATCCGAATCAATGAATCGAATCACCATCCCCAATTTGGGTCGAATCTGAACCAAATATGGCCCATTTCACATGCCCCTATTAGACCCCCCCCCATCTGTTTCTGAAGGCTGGGAAATCTGTGTATGAGACCCAGTCTTTTAAAAATCAATTAACCCTTGCTGCTATAACCGTTATTCTAATGCATAATGTATTACCTATAAGCCAGTTTTTAAAAACAAACCTTTAAATATAATTTCTAAGCCAACAATGTAATGTCTAAGTGGTCTGTGAAAGATGACTTTGATCAATCAAAAGTATGTAAATTTCCACACTTACAATTCAAAGGGATTCGCACCCCCATTTGAAATTTCCAAAGGGGTCAGCACCTCCATACAACATTTTTTAGGAGTCCACAAATGAAAAAAAGGTTGAAACCCACTAGTATAGTTCATTCTTGTTTTGAATGTAAAATTTGGTATCACATTTGCTCACTATATCAGATAGTACAGTAACCTATACTATGTGTTTACAGCTATATTTACCACAAATATCTGAATTGGCATATATTACATTTATTAATTTTACCAATCTGTATAGTGCCTAGTGCAATAAAAGGCAGGCATTCAATTTTTATATTTAGATTGGTTTAATCACAAGTAAAGGAACAAAATTAAAACAAAATTAACACATTATCATTACAGACTATTTTGTTTAAAACATAATATACTTTTATTCTAAGAGCCAGTGCATGAACAGTGTTTACTAAAGTGCAATTTGCAAAGAAATGTTTGTGAAAATTATTTTTTTTCCAGCTGTAAAATTGAAATTATTCCATGCTTTGCCTTAACGCATGTCCCAGGGGTGTTTTTTTACCTCAGTGTAATAGGAAACTGCATTTTTATTTACAACATTATCCAAGAAAACAGGAATTAATTGTGCAGATGGTAAGGGAACAATTATATTCACCTCATTTCAGTAGTGGGAAGACTTCATTCCATGTGTAAAGGAAACAAATGCTTCTTCCTGTACTTTATTGTTATTGCTACATGCCTTTCTAAAGCACCCATTCACTGAAGTTTATATGGGCAATTCACATGATGGAAGAGTTGATCATTTACCATACCTCTGAAAACTACCTTACAAGATTTTCTATAACTAGTTGACGGGTAATTTTTCCCTTGAATAATATTA